AAAAAATGTTCATCGAATTCAACTTTCTTTGTTCATCTTATTTAAAAAATGTTCACCAAAATTGAAAATTTGTTGACCAACCTAAAAAAATATTCATTAAATTCAAATTTTGTTCACCATTTCAAAATTTGTTCATTGATTTCAAATTTGTTCATCCATTTGTCAAAAACAAGTTCATGAATGCAATTTTGTTCAAGTTAACCAGAAAGACTATCTCAGCCATTTGCTTCCCGTCTTGATCATTCGAGTACTGTACTTCACTTCCGGAGAGTTCAAATTGTTCAGGCATCGTATCTTTACTGTGTGGTTACGCTTTCCACTCTCTCGCACATTCATTAGCTCACATGTTTTGGTTGGGCAAAGTCTAGTGTTTCAGTCCAGTCTCTTGCAAGAACAGTAGTCTATGAACAATTGGACTAGCATGCATACTGATATACTCACACGCTGCTCTGCTTAACACGGTAATAGCATTATCTAGACGCACCATGGTGATCCAATGCACCGGCAGCGCCACGTGCCGTATACACAAGATCACCGAGCGGACCAACTTCCATAGGCTTGCGCAGATCGAATCGTAAGGGTGAGTTCAGAGACGTGTTCTCCATCAACGGCGGAGGGAGTGGAGGTGGGGCACCGCACCGGTGGACTGGCCGGCGGCCGCTGTGGCTTGTCGGCGTGGAGGTTGGCCGCTGGCGGGCGAACGGCTAGGGATTGGTTATTGCTGGTCAGAGACATCTCCGCTCCTACCTGCTGAGTCCTGACTTCTCATTGCTGCCGCACGGACGCAAACAGAATCAGGCAACACCGGCGCCGCGCGCAGTGCAGAAGTGAACTGGTGAGCAAATTGCTCTCGCTGTCTCTCTCTGTCTCTCCCCTCTACAAATTGCGGAAATTTAGAGTATTTTGATTCTGCATTTTCTTTCTTAGTTGGGGAAAATTCTAATTAGGTCATGGATTTTGTGCTGAATAGAAAAATGTCCTTCACAGAAAAACGGTGAATACAATTCTTGAGGGAAAACAATTTATGTATTTTTCAAAAAAAAGTGAGGCGATTCAGTTGAATGTAAAGTTGACGAACCAACACAAACAGAAGCAATACATGTTCAGCCTCCTTTGTTGTTGCTGGAATTTGAGCAACACGGACCACATCCTTCGATGCCGCAAAAATAAGGCCATCAAACAAATGAAGTCCTATTTTGAGGGATTGAATTTTTGCAGCGGGATCCAACACTACGTGTCTACGTCCACAAATTTGACAATATCGAGCTAATCCAAGAGATGATGTGGGGCAAGCATATTTGAATCTTTGTGCTATACAGCCCGTTTGAGATTTCTTCGCCCCTCCTGAGATTTCTTTCAAGCTCCGCCATTGTTCTCCATGACGACATGATCTCTCTGGTAAATAAGTGGCTGAACAAAGCTCATGGATGATGATGGAGCATCGGGCCGAGAGAGAGAGAGAACTAGGACAAATCTCATGATCACACCAAGAGAGAGGAAGAGCGAGGGAGGGCATGATATAGATGGTGATATTTTTTTGTGATGCGGCCAAAAATTTCAGGCACAACTTACATTTCTTAATTTACATATGTATTACGTACAATTTTTGTTCCGTACTCTCGACAAATACAACACATTCACAAAATAAGTTACGTTGTACTCCCTCCGTCCGAGAAAACAAGTCCACGGCGTAGTTCATTGTGATTTTTGCAAAAAAAAAAAGAACCCTTAGGATTTTAAATCTCCTGCTAATTACCCCCTTTGCTTCTTCCTCCTCCCTCGGTCGCCCGCGGCAGGAACTAGCCCAGCGCGCCGTCGGCAGCCACCGTAGAGCCCAGCGCGCCGCCGCCCACCTACGTCGCCTCTGCCAATCTGCGGCGCCCCTGCCCACCTGCGCCGCCGTCCGCACGGAGGCGACTGCTCCTCCGCGGCGACCAACTGGACGCACGCCTCCCCCACGGCTGACGGCGCCTGCCCCGTCGCCCTGCTCGCGTCCCCAGCCGGTGCGGCCCGCGCCCTCATCCTCTGCTCGCTTCCTCGCGCCCGCGGCCGCCGGTGCGGGATTTGGGCAAGTCGCCGGCCGCCGCTTCCTTCTGCGGCCGCTGCGATTCCCTCCAGCCTCTGATGCTGCTGCTGCTGCTGCTGGGCGACGCCGACGCCCCCCGATCAAGTCCTCTCCGTCTGATGCTGCTGCTCCTCGCCGTCTGAGCTCTCTGCCCCGCCTCTGCTGTTGACAAGGTGAATTTGTAGTAGATATGTGCAGTGGAAATTGAATTGGGCAGTGCTACACCTTCACAATAGTGTGCAACATCCACATTCGCCTGAAAGGGAGAGGGAAGGTTAAAAAGTTCAGATTCTGTTAACTGAACATGTTCAGGTTCAGGTTCTGTTAACTGAAAATGTTTAGATTCGGAAACATTGTTGGACTGATAGGAACTTTGTTGAACAGAGCAATCTACACCTGTAATTTCTACTATTATGCCTCTGTTACTCCAGTCAAAATTTTCAGTCAAGCACAACTGATCATGTAACTTGACAAGATTACTCCAGATTTTGGAAATAATCAATTAGTCCAGATTCTGTCAATTACTTGCGTCAATTAATCATGTCAACGAATAATTACTACAGTAGGTAGGACATGGGTATAGGCAAGTTATAAAATTGCACTTGTGTCAATTACTTGAAGCAATACGCAGTTAAACTGAGATAGCTCACAGTATTTGTGTGCAACCTATGCCATGTCCTTGTCAGGTAGACTGCTCTTTTGTCCCTCCTTTGGATTGTGAAGTCCACTGGAAATGAGCACAAGTCAGGTCCGTCAAACTAAGATTAGTCGAAAGCAACAAAGAGCACTAACCAACCAAAGTTCCACTAGAATTAGGCCACTAGAGAGGAAATAAACAGGTGTGCACTATGCTAAAGGAAGTTGATAAATCCAAACCATGAATTATCAAGTCTGCAATCTTTAGCATGAGTATTTCAGAATTGCTAGTGAAATGTCTTAGGTTTTACTCCAAGGTAATTAGCTCCACTACATTGTCAGGTTTTCTGTTATTTTTGTGAAACATCAGGGCATGAATGTTAGTGAATTATGAGAATGATTAAGGGTTCAGCAATCAGATTATAATTATGACCAGAACAGAGGAACAAATATCATGATTAGTGTAATGTAAAAAAAATATCAGAAAACCCACTTGAAGTTACTGTAGTTACTCACTTGAAGTTACTGTAGTTACTCACTTGGAGTTACTGTAGTTACTCACTTGGAGTAAAAATTTAGAAAAGAATAAAGTGTAAAAATTCAGAAAAGTTACTAAACAGCAGAAGCAATGGCCAAAATTCAAAGCTTATGAAGAAGGTACTCCAACAGTTAAGAGTGCCAATAAGTTCAGTTTTCATGTACTCCCAAACTGGTAACTAAATTACAGTAACAATAAGTTTTCATGTACTAATTCTGCCATAAATTCAGTTTCAAGATTCTACACTAAATATTCAGTCTACAAGATTCTACACTAAATATATAGTGTTATCCATGTTCTGTATCCAGGACATTTGAATTATTCAGAGAAGGATAATGCAAACTAAAAAGTGTTATGCAAACTGAAAACTGATAATTATCCAAAACAAGAATTTGCTGAGTATTTTTACTGTTTGCAGCAAACAAAAAATATTTTGGAAAGTGTCCACAGAATTTCAGTCAAAGAGGCATGTCCTTTTCAAAAACATCAAGAATCCAAAATCTAGGAGACAGATTTTTTGTCAAACATTCTGAATTTTTACACTGAACATTTCTGAATTACTAATTCAGTCTGAACATGTCACAATATTTCTGAAATCAACTTGAAGCTCTGTTCAGCAAATGAAAGCAGCAGTATGAGGGTCTAGGCTGTCTAAAGTAAACATTCGACCTCTCTTGACGAACTCAGGGGTAGGCTCAACGGTCTCGACGGGGGTGGGTAGGAGCACGAGCCTCCGGCATGCTGCGGCGTCGCGCACCTCCTCGAGCACCATGACCAGCCGGCCCGCGGTGGAGGCGAGCGCGGCGCCGCCCGAGATGATGCCGTTGGCGTCGACGACGGCCATGGCCAAGCCGCTCGAGTTGGCGCAACTGGACACAATCTGGCTCACCACCTGCGGGCACGACTCCTTGGCCACCGTCTCCCGCAGCGCTGTTGCGGCCGCGCCCCATGCCTCGGGGGGTGGTGAGGCGGCGACGCCAGGGGGAGGCGAGGGCGGGAAGGCCGCGTCGCCAGCCGCTGGGCCGAGGGCCACCAGCTTCTTCCGTCAACGCTAGGAGGGAGGGGGTGGGCGCGAGCAGGAGACGCGGCGGGAGGAAGAAACGATTTTTGGGGTGAAAGAGGGGAGATTCAGGAGGCAGGGTAAGGGAGCGGCGGATGCACGGGAGAGCATGGGAGCGAGCAGCGGGAGAAGACGAGGAGTGCGGGTTGTGTCAGAAGTTTGGGGAGGGGTTTATGTTTTCCGGTGACAAGCTCATGGGCATTGTCCTAGTTAGGTAAAAAAAACAGAGAAGCTCGAGATTTGTTATTTGACATGGAGCAAACTTTCCATCACTCAGCGAGCCGAACCAGATCATTGGCAATCAGGTTCCGAACGAAGGTTGGTGCACCGCCCGCCCATACGTCTTGGGATACGGTGTCATCTTCAAACCAAAAGTCGCTAGGACATGAGCTACCTTATTACAGTTTCTAGGGACATAAACAACTGAAAAGACTAAAGAAACAAACACCTTAACCTCCCTGAACAACACAGCACTTAATGGAATAGAGTTTGGATTACATCAAAGCTACTTCAACAAGCCAAGGCAAACTTATATCCAAGTGCCTGTATCAGCTTACACAGTTCTCAACCATGATAATAGATGTCTGACTTGGCGACCTAACATAACAGACGCCATCCAAGCAACAGGGTGCCTCCTTCATAAATACATAATACATGACATATAGATAGATAAAACAGAGCAGGGCATAATCACTTCTCCTCTAACCGTCGATTGCTTTCAGGATGACAGCCGCGGTGGGAATAGGCAGAAGCAGCTTGAAAGACCAACTCAGATACTTGTTGCTCTTCTCAAGAAACCCAATGCGCGATCTTCAGAAAGGAGGAAACGGGATTAGGATAATTTCACTTAAGAAATCATGCAGCAACAAACTCTAGTTCCATACCTCATAAATTCCTGGTGTTTCTTCACTCGATCAAGTGTAGCTAGATTCTCTTGGTACAGCCTTTTCACATCTTCCTGATCTTCCTGTTCACACCAATTTTGTTATAAGAGAACATTAGTTTGCGACAAAATGGACAAGTGGATAAGGAGGCAAATATGCTATTGAATGCTATCTTCAATCATATCATGTCTCAGGAACACAACATGACAGGATATACTGAAGCAGACCTGATTTCAGCAATTCTATTTAACCTTAAATGGTAAATGAATGTGAGAATAGACGTTGCAGCTTCGCAGTATATGCAAAGCATCTTAATGACTGTTGCCTGTGAGACTGCACTAAAACGGCTGACGGTTGCAATCAATCAAAGGGAGTAGCAGTTGCACTCTAATGTGATCTTTCTTGCTAATAAAACAAAAATAGGCTAGAAGCGTGATTCTTCGAGATGACATGTTGACATATGTTTGATCTAGCTAGTAGGTACGGAACACATCATTATTGGCAACAGAGAATCACTTGCGATGCACCTAGTGCAATGAACTACTCCCTTCGTTTGTAAATATAAGTCCTTTTAGAGATTTCAATACGGACTACATACGGATGTATATAGACATATTTTAAGTGTAGATTCACTCATTTTGCTTCGTATGTAGTCCATATTGGAATCTCTAAAAGGTCTTATATTTAGGAATGGAGGGAGTATTTGTGTGAGGCAAAGAGACCTATCAAAACGATAATAAGAACTCATATACACATGAAGCCTACAAAATACAAAATATATACCATAATAGCAAGAGAGCTCCTGTACGCAGAAACAAGGGAGCTCCAGGACATGAGCAAAGTAAAAACTGGTAGTTCCATACTTGTCCGATGCCTGAGAGGGTCAACAGCCCCATCCATGCTAACAAAGCAAGATATCTAGACCCTGAGCTGAAGAAATTATAAGTAACTAAACCACCGACGGTAAGGTAATCAGAATGCATCACACAGGGCAGATAATAGAAAGTTGACTGTAAGAATAAAAGTTGCAGCTTGGCAGTCTATGCAAAGCAGCTAATTACTCCGACAAGCTACAGCGACTGTACTTCCAAACTAGTTTGTTTAATAATTTAAGACCCGGTATAATAAACATGGCATCATTCAACTTGGTTTGTCAAACCCTTGCTGAGCTTCAAGCTTGAGGATAGACCCCTGTGATTTGCAAATGCAGGTGGCTGCTTGGCTAGTCAAACATTTTTCTCAATATCACTAGGGAAATGTTGAGCAGAACCGGTAGGAGAGTTATCAGGAAATATACTTGCAAGATGTAAATTTGAATATATGCAAGTCAAAGCAAAATACTTTGATAGAAATCAGTGGCCAAAGTGTTAATTTGGAGACTTGTACAGATGGAAATCAGAGAGGGAGGGAGTAGACGCACACTTGCAAGTAGAGCGCGTGATGATCTAGGGGCCGGACCGCGGGGAATCGAGCAATGACGCGACGACGGACGGACGGAGGGACAGGTCGGAGTAACAATAAACTAGGGCAATCGTCGGCACGAATCGCACGGGGCGGACGGAAATTTCTCGGACTTTGAGGGAGCGCGGGGGGCAAGGGGGCGGGCAAATTACCTCCAAGGAGCTGAAGAGCCTGGAGCGGAGGGGCCGCGTGCCGGCCGAAGGCGAGACGCGGGGACGGAGGACGGCGGCGGCCGGGGACCGCATCCTCGTGGCCAAGTTGCGCAGCGCCATGGACATCTGGACCAGATCTAGGGTTCTCTCCTCTTTATTTATATTTTTGGACCTGTTCCTCTCCTCTCTCTCGCTTTCTCGAAGCTTTCCTCCTGCTTCCTTCGGCCTTCTCGCGGTTAATGTAGAGAGACGGACCAAGGCGTGCGTGTCCGTCCCGGCCTCGCCGCCTTTTCTTCTCCCACGATGGGCCTGATAGATGGATGGGCCGAACAGGCGGGTCTGCTCACTATTTTCCTTGCGCTTTTTTTAGGGGCTGCCCTTCGCGAGAGGCACGGTTTTGCTTCGACGAGAGGCACGAATTTACCTTCTTGAAAGGTCTAAAACGAAAAAAAAACAGCTTTTCATTTTTTTCCTCCGCAAAAGGCACGGCCGTGGTTCTTAGAAATGAACACAAATTTGCTTTGCTTCCGTGAGAGGCAAGGTCGTGCTTCTCAGAAGCGAAAATAAAACATATTTTTTTCCTTTCGCGAGAGGCACGGCCGTGCCTTTCGGAAATCAAAAAAATGCATTCTCATTTTTTCCTTCCGCGAGAGGTACAGTTTTGCTTTCACGAGAGACACGGATTTGCTTTCGTGAGACGCACACGTTTTCATTTTTTCCCTCCGCGAGAGGCACGGTTTTGCTTCCGCAACGGGTAGGGATTTGCTTCTGCGAAAAACGTGTTTTTTCCTACCACGTGAAGCACAGTTTTACTTCCGCGAGGCGTATGAATTTGCTTCCGTGAAAGGCACAACCATGCCTCTCGGAAATGAAAAAAAAAATTCTTTATTTTTTGAGAGAAGCATGGTTTTTTCATGAAATTTTTTCGTCAAAACTTATCAACATGGGATCTAGTTTTAACGATCTCGCCGCGAGGAATCCAACAGTGAAAAACATTTCAAGATTTGACTGCATGATTTAAGAGATAAAATGAAGATTTGACCACACGATTTAAGAGACAAAATGTTCTGAATAAACTTATTTAGAAAAAAGACTAAAAACTACTCAACCTGTTAGTTTTTCGGTGCGCCATTTGTCGCAACCTCTGGAAGGTCGGAGTGACCTTTGAAAGAAGTACTTCTCAGTTGATGATTTCATACATAACCGGATCTACTGTTATGATGGACGGGCCGAACCTAATAGCGAGTGCTATTTTGATGGAGTGTCCTTTAGATAGTTCTATTTTTAACGCTCAGGGCGCTCAATACCTCGCTTCTTTTAGGAAACCCACACTCTCCACATGAACGGCCCTACTGTTATGTTTTCTTCTTCCTGTTTTCCCTTTTATATATTTTTTATTTTGTTTTCTTTCACCTGTATTTTTTATTCTTTTGTTATTTTCTACATTTGCTGTTTATGTTTTTATTTCCTTTTCCTTTTTATTTTTATTCAAAATTTAATTGATGAATTGCAATCGTTCCTGGTTTTGCTAAATTTGCAGACATTTTATCAAAGTCAAGAATGGTATTTCAGTTATGTGAATATTTTTTCAGTTCCTTAACACTTTTTCCCTCCCTCCTCTCATGTCTAACCCCCTCGTACACCCCCGACACCAAAGGCAGTTCGGTGGTTGCTCTCTCTCTCTCTGCTGCAATGCTCGTCCGGTGGATGGGCCGACCCAAATGGTCATCTGCTCCATACTTCTTCCTTGCGCTTTTCTTATGGACTGCCCCTTAGACCTTCTACAATGCAAGGCACTTAGGGGGGTGTTTAGAGAAATAAAATAATATTTGTTTAAATATCAGTGCTTATTTTTTATTTATAGAGGATAGATGCTTAATTAAACGTATCTCCTATAGAAATAGGCATTGGTGTTTCAGAAAAATCCGATTTATTACCATCCTAAGCACCTAACTGTTGATGGCAAAATCGTTTGCATGGCAACACTCTCAATTCCTGAACAGATCAACAATCTAGCCGGTCTTTTCTTTTGCTGTCTTTTTCTGTATGAGGAACAGAACGGCCTTCTTCTTGCTGATCTCAAAGAAAACTTTTCTTTTGGTTGGATTTTCAACGGATCAACAGCAAACGGAACCTAAGCGACGTCTAGGTCCCGTTTTCCGGGTGCAGCGGCGTAGGGTTAGCCTACTGCCACGGCGATCTCTGAACTTGCAGGCAAGAGCAGAGAAGTCGATGGGGAAAAACGAACGAAAGGAAAGCTGTGCATGGAAATAAAGTAAATATGTTTTTGTCGATGTTGGGTGTCCCTCTACCGGCCTCTGACCCTACGTATATATAGGGCGATCTGGACTTTGATCCTTTGATCGATTAGGAGACAAATCTGGTTACAACTCTATTTTACAAGATTTGGTCCTTATCTGTACATTCAAAATCTAAACAGGAACCTGGTTTCCTTGATAATAAAAATAGTATAACCAGCGACGTCCGCTCCTCTCTGTGCTCCAAAATAATGAAGCATATCTCAACCGTAGCCCCGTCTTCATCTTATACCTGATGGTGGTTGTACGTGAACAAAACTGGAGTCTAAATCTTCAACTTCCTGTACTCTTACCTCCCCAACTCCATCAGCGTGTGCATATCTTCAGTTAAAAAACAATCTTCAGCTTAGCACATTAGCATCATGATCCATATTTTTAATCTGCCAAATTTGACTATCAACACTAACATTGTACAAGACTTCAGATAGTTCTATTATTAATGCTCAACGCGCTAATGTTTCGCTATTTTTTAGGGAAGCCGCACCCTCAAGGCTACCTCCAGCCACCGCCCCTCCGCCGTGCGCCGCCCCCACCCCTACAGCTTTACACCACCGGCGACACTCGGCGCTGGCACCACACCTTCCCACAACTCCTCTCTTTCCTCCTCCTCTGCCGTCACCGCTCTTCATCAGCCGGCCAACTCCCGGCAGCGCCCCCGGCCGTCTACCCCGTGATGCAACGTGCCCACGTCTCCACGCAACCGCCAACGACGGAGCCCGCCATCATGCGGACTCCCCATCGGCGGAACCGGGCGTCTTACCCAGCGCCCGTCGGCGGCCTCCCTACACTTCGACGATGGCATGTCTACACATCGGTTGCGCAACGCCCTCGGTGTCAAACGGGAGATGCAGACAAAGGACATGGCGGTTTAGAAGAAAAGTGGAGACGCTGAGTGCTTCTGCCCAAAAACGGGACGGCATGGAGGCGTGGAACAGAAGGGAGCGGACCCCGTCGTTGAGCGTGCGCAAGATGCGCTCCGCCTTGCCGTTCTGCGGACTAGTGTAAGGGCAAAAGAGCCGAAGCACCGTGCCGTGAGTGGCGAGCAGGGAGCGAACGGCCGCATTGTCGAACTCGCGGCCGTTGTCAGTCTGCAAGGCAAGGAGCGGACGCTCAAATTGAGTCTGAACGTAGGCGAAGAACTGAACAATGACAGGTAGAGCTTCAGACTTGTGATGCAAGGGAAACATCCACACATAATGGGTATAATCGCCGAGGATTACAAGATAAAACTGATAACCAGAGACACTAGTTACAGGAGATGTCTAAATATCTAAGTGTAACAGCAGGAAAGGAAAGAAACTACGAGTTGCAGATTGCTGAAACGGGAGCCATGTGTGCTTGTCCAGACGACACGCGCGGCAGGAGTGAGTGGAGGACGGGGTGCAGGCGAACTCGAAACCGGCGATCGGAGCGCGCCCTGAGTGTCCCAGCCGCTGATGCCAGAGGTCGGTGGTGACCACGCCAGCGAACGGAAGAGCAGAGCGAGTGGAGGAAGCTCCAGCAACGAGGTACAGATCGCCTTCCGAATCACATCGGAGAATCACCGTCCGGGTGCGGAGGTCCTTGACAGAAAAACAAAACGCATCAAACTCTACTGAAACTGTATTTTCACGACAGAGCTGATAAACAGACAGCAAATTTTTGACAAGAGACGGTGTGAGAAGAACGCTGCGGAGAGCGAGAGCATTGGCAGAGGTGGCGATGGAGCCCGTGCCAACGTGTGTGATGGGAAGGTGCGCGCCATTCCCGACAATGATAGAAGTGTGTGTGGAGGAAGGACGAAGGGAGGAGAGAATACCCGGGTTGGATGCCATATGCGCAGCAGCGCCGGAGTCGAGGTACCAGTCGGATGTGCTACCCGACGACGATGGCCCTGACGAAGCACTGTGCAGCGCAGCCTGAAGAGACGCCATGTCCCAGGGCTGCTGCTGTTGAGGAGGCGGGGCAGCAGGGTAGCCGTAGCCAGGCGGCGGGCCGCCGGGGGCACCGTACCGTACAACGATGCGGACAGCATGGCCATCATGGCCTGCTGATGAGGGGTCCCGGGGCGAGGCCCGAGCACGCCGGCTCCAGGTGCGCGCCAGGCGACAGGCCAAGCTTGAACAAGGCCCGTCCAGGAATTGGTGCCGGGCGCCGGTGCAGGATAGCCGGGCGGAGGGCGCGGCGGCTGCGGGCCAGCAGAGCTAGAAGCCCCCCCTCCCTCCCCCCTTGCCCACGTCCACGCTTCTTCCCGAGCCCGATGAGTCGATTGGTGGGGCGGCGGGCGCCGGCAGCGGAGGGCGCGCGGCGATCAGCGCATGGGCGCTCTGGTGACGTGTCGCCTGCTCAGCGCGGAGCTCCTCAAGCAGCAAGAACGAGCGCGTCTCCAGGAAGGCGCCGGATGTCAACCGTCTGAAGGACGGAGGGAGGAGCAGGCTGGGTGATGGCCGGGGCAGCGGGAGCGATGCGGAGCGCTACGGGCCCGGGAGGTGGTGCGGCACCGTCGACAGGCTCAGCGGCGACGGACAGAGCGCCATCGTCTCCATCGAGGGAGGGAGGAGGAGTCTGGACAGGGTTAGTATCCATGGCAGTGAAAGGAGGATCGTGCGCAACAGGGTTAACCTCTGCATCTGATACCATGTTAGAGGGATTAGGGATTCAGCACACTTTCATTAGCACAAAGGCTGGGTCATATATACACTTACAGAACCACAACCGTGGCTGGGACGTGCGCCACTACCTCTACCACTCGCCCCACTACTGCTATCATCGTGGCCAGTCTCTGAGCACAACCGCTCGTGGTGACTGCCGTGTCAACACACACACGCA